GGATTAGGACCTTTACAGGTGTATCTTCATGTGCCATGAAGTAGCATTAATTTACCTGAATTTCTTAAAATCAGATTTGCTCCCCAAAACTGCAATACAAAATCTTTTATTGTGCTCAAGTTTTTTGATTTGTAGCCTGGTTCTACCTAGAGGAGCACCTCCTTTTTACCTGTAATGTTGGTAACAGGAACCAAGCTCACTTTTTCTTTTCTTTTCTCTATTCCCTTCTTTTACTTTCATACCCACATCTGCAGGCACTGGATGTATGCATGCTGAGTATAACACAGAAAGGGAATGTGTCTTCAGCTTGCCCAGTTATTTACCCGAAGTTATTTATAATGTAAAGAAAACTCCACAGCTGTAGGGAAGAAGGCCACATTATTAGCAGTGCTAATAACCTTTTGAAGGCAAAGAGGAGAGAAGCTATCCGGGCAGACAGCTGAACAGGCGTTGTGAAAGTAAAAGACACAGCGGCCCTAGCGAGGGTAGGCAGGGCGCGCCTCCCAGTCTCTTGGTCAGCCCAGGCTGAGCGCAGCGTTCTTGGTTTACCTCCCAGGCAGCAAGATGGATTGCAGATCTGTTTACGTAGGGAATATTGCAATATATTTCCTACGTCCTAACACTCCAGCGGGTATGATATGAAAAAATCTGAGGACAGAATTGTTTGAAAAACAGTTAGCAGAGTTGGAGTTAGTAGTGGTGTTTCAAATAGCGTGAGAAATGGTCTCTTTGGAAATATTTTACATGTGTTTAGGTGAGAACATGCATATTGAACATATTTGTAATATATCCTAGAAAGGATGGAACAAGGAAAACAATCTTTTTCTTTGGAAATTCATCTTCTTTGTTTAGGATCTAGTCTGATCACTTCTTTTGCGTGGTCAGACCAAATCTTTAGGTCTGTACAGGGCCCTGTTGGTTTACGTAGGCTTAGATCAGCACAGATAGCATCCTTTGTCTCCAGTTTAGAAATCTCTTCTCTAAAGAGGGAGCTCTTCAGTCCTAAAGGTAGAAGGCACTTGTAAGCCTGTCTGTATTCAGAGAAGAACTTCAGCGCAGCTGTAATTCTAAAACATGTGCGAAAACCCTGTTTTGATCAAGAAACTTAAGCACACGTGTAATGTTAAGTATATGTGGTAGTAGGTTGTTGCTCCGTGGTTTCTAGACGCAGGCTTGAATGTAGAAGAAAATTCCAACAGAAGGGAGCCCAGGCAAATTAGGGTGACAAGCTTGAGAGGGAAATTAAGGGGGGAAGGGAGTGTTAGGTGACTTGTGTGGATCTTTAATACTTTTTTTTATTGTTTTCATTCTGTTTGTTGACCAAGCTGCGTTTTTTCAAACTCACATGGCGTTATTTCAGAGAATAGCACACAGTTCCCTAACATAACAAAACCATATTTTCTTTCTATTTAACCTTAACAAAATGCAGAAAAGAGAAAAATAGTAGAAGTGTTTGTATTATCTTTCTTTTGCAACTGGGTAATGATGATTTGATAACCCACTATTTTCCTTTCCTTACAATACCAAGGCTTGCAATTGTATCAACAGAAACGTAAGCACTCAGAAATCTGCCTGTGGGTATTAGCTTGAAAGTCAAATAAACTTCATTGAATTCTCTGGCACAGAAAGTGTGCCAGTTTAAAATGGCAAAATCCTTACCGGTCTGTGGGGCTCCGTAAAACTTACATAATAAGAATAGAGCTCAGCAGAGTCTGATATTGCCTGCCTTATGCTTCCAAAAGCCCTATGTAAATCAAGAGGAGGTTTGTCTTTATGGAGGAAGGCTGGAGAAGAATCATTACTAAAACTTGCCTGTGAATGAATTCGTTAGATCCCATCCGCTGGAGAGCTGGCACTGATGCTTCAAGCCTCTCAATATATTTGAGAGAAAAAACAAAGTATCATGGGCTTAACTGGCGTGGAAGTCACCCAACTGAAACATTATACAATGCTTTGAAATTTCAAGAAAAAGGTTGTAATCTTTTGGCTGTCTTGCTCATTGTTTGGAGATGAAAAGGGAGGAAATCAACATCCCCATGAAATACAATTACTGTAAATCGCTTTCTTTTCATACTGTTCGTAATGAAAATAGGAAATTTACCAGCAGTTACCTGCTCTCCAGAAGCACGGGGGATGTAGACCGCAAGAAGACATTGAGCAGTGCATTCAGCACCCGATTTCTATACGAATCAACTAACGGAGAATATAAACTAATGCACAGCAGCGCTGACTCTGGTTTGCTCTGAAGTGACCAGAAGTCATCTTTGCAGTGGAAGAAACCAGAGCTCCTCGGAAGTAAACTGTAAGCTCAAGATAAACTGGTGCAGGGAGTTGATCCTGTGGTGCCCCAGGACCCAGAGCGGGGAGGAAAAGCAGGGTGTCTGCTCTCCCCTTCCCAGGCTCTCTATCAGGATCTGGAGCCTGCCAGAAGCTTGCCCAGTCCCTTGGGCTGGCTGAGGAGGCCCTTTGGCTTCTGAGGCAGCTGGAGATCAATCAGGGTACAGGCCCTGTGTGTCTGGTAGACACACCGCTAAGTTTGGAACAGGGATCCCTTGGGGCAGCTCTGCCAGACCCCCATTGCACTGGTCCTGCATCACTCCCTTGTGTTTGGGGATTTCCAGCTCTGCTGTCCCCGTGGAGCACCTGGAAATGAGGATTTCCCAGAAGCAAGTGGGTGGCAGAGCCGTTCTCGTTAGCGGGAGTGGGTGGACGAGCCTCTCCTCTGCCCTGCCTTGCATGAGGTGGAGCAGCACCTGCAGGATGGACGCCCAAGGGCCAAGCATCTTTGCTTGGGTCCATCTCTGCAAAAGTGCATGGCCATGTTTTGTGTTCTTTGGGTCAGGATAGGAGGGGAAATGAGAACTGGGACTCACTGCTGTCATCACGTACTGTTTGGAAAAAATGCATACCAAATGCCAGCAGTCATCCCCCTTTACAGAACAACGCTCTGAATTCTTCTTTTCCTAAGGAGCAGGAGAGGAAGGCATTGGGAGAGGGTGAGGTCATCGGCCTCCACTAAATAATGCTATGACAAGCCATCACTATTTCTTGTCCATTTTTGTCATACCAGAGGCCCTGGTCAGAGGGCAGGACCTTACGGTGGGAATTATCTACCCAGTGCCGCAGTGCTTTCAGACAGCATGTCCATGGTTTGATGCTGTTATAGGAAGCACTGAGAAGTCGTAAACCGGTTATAGTAGGACCAGCTTTTAAAAATGGCAAGGTTATTAAAAATTTAATACATTCAGAATCTCTTGACACAGGGAACTGTGTCTTTTACAAAAATACAAAATGTTGTCGAGGCTCATAAGAGCAAGAGGGTTGTGCCAGCACTGGATCCTGAGTCGTTCTCGCGTGGGGGGGGGGGGGGGGGGGAGCCTCTCCTCTGCCCTGCCTTGCATGAGGTGGAGCAGCACCTGCAGGATGGACGCCCAAGGGCCAAGCATCTTTGCTTGGGTCCATCTCTGCAAAAGTGCATGGCCATGTTTTGTGTTCTTTGGGTCAGGATAGGAGGGGAAATGAGAACTGGGACTCACTGCTGTCATCACGTACTGTTTGGAAAAAATGCATACCAAATGCCAGCAGTCATCCCCCTTTACAGAACAACGCTCTGAATTCTTCTTTTCCTAAGGAGCAGGAGAGGAAGGCATTGGGAGAGGGTGAGGTCATCGGCCTCCACTAAATAATGCTATGACAAGCCATCACTATTTCTTGTCCATTTTTGTCATACCAGAGGCCCTGGTCAGAGGGCAGGACCTTACGGTGGGAATTATCTACCCAGTGCCGCAGTGCTTTCAGACAGCATGTCCATGGTTTGATGCTGTTATAGGAAGCACTGAGAAGTCGTAAACCGGTTATAGTAGGACCAGCTTTTAAAAATGGCAAGGTTATTAAAAATTTAATACATTCAGAATCTCTTGACACAGGGAACTGTGTCTTTTACAAAAATACAAAATGTTGTCGAGGCTCATAAGAGCAAGAGGGTTGTGCCAGCACTGGATCCTGAGTCGTTCTTTACATGTGGACTTTTAGGCTGGCTGGTACTATGGAAACACCTTGCCTTGCTTATTCCCATCTTTTTTTCTTTTTTTTCAGTTCAGTACTCCCGAGCAAGGGTCTGGGACAGGGACGGTATTTTGTTTGCACAGCTGGTAGTTTTGGGGTGCCCCATGACTGCCAAGTGCTACAAACAGTCAAAAGAAAATATAACACCAGATAAAAAAATGACTATCACACTTCAACCAGGAAGGCAATTGCCAGTGGAACCATCTCATTTTCATGCGTGGCTAGAGCTGTGAAGAAAAGGAAGGCTGTGGAAGATTTAAGACTGTTTATGGCACTCAGGCATTTGCTTTTGAAATATATGTCTTTTTGTGGCTTCCTTTCCTCAGTAAGAAAGTGACATCAAAAAGAGACGATTGTCTCCAATCTACTTGCTTATTCTCTGAGGAAAAAAAAAAAAGTGCGTGCTAGGTCAGACAGGCTTGAAAGCATCAATAGCTCAAGAATCCAGGAATGAAGTTAATGGGCAAATATAGATGTGGTGTAAGCGGGCTAGACTTCATTAACATATTTGGAGTTACACCCGCTTATACCACGTCTGGCTTTGGCCCTGAATCAGCAATTCCCCAGTGAATAGACTGCATGCAACCGGTGCCGAATTTGGCCCATTTCATCTGACATCTGCATCCTGCCTCAAAGTGGCATGTCACACTTACTGCGCATCAGATCACACCTGCCCAGGCAGTCACAGGCAATTGACTTTTTTGTTAAAAAATAAAAAAAAAGAAAAAAATAAAAAAAAATTTAGTCGCATATCATCAAGAAAAACAACATTGTTTTAGGACTCTTATCTCTTCGCTCCCAAATATCCTGTTTCTTCGAGCTGCAGTGGCCAGGACCAATAGAAACCTCTTCCTGCCATTGGCTGACTTCATTTCCCAGAGTTAGCACAATCTCATCCGCTCTAAACAACCTCATCAAAACTTCTTTCTGGTCAGAGCGAAGCAATAATTATTATTAGCAATTATTAGCGATCAATAATCTTGATCACATTATGGCAAGCACTATTAAGGTAAGAAAGGGGTACCTTTTTTGTCGGAATTATTTTCAGTGGCATGTTCTTTGGTTTCCTTTATCAACCTAGATAAGTTAGAATTGGGCAACACCCCCACTGCCACAATAGAGGACAACAAGATTTCCTTTGTACTGCCTAGTAAATTTCCTTTTTCCTACTCCAACCATCCGCAAGGCTTAAAAACTTCAAACTCGGAAAAAAAATTGGTTTTTTTAAATTCACTGTTCAGTGCTGTGGATTGCATATGCGAAGCCCTTTTATGAGAGCTTCTGAAATTTCTTGTAGGTATCGTTCTGACAACTTGGATGTGTTTGCGGACTGCCATAAGGGGAGAGGGTGTGCACTGGAAGGAAAGAAAGGGTTCCTAAGAGCACTAACCTTTCGGATTCTTTTAAATGTTTCTCTTGTTGATGGGGACACAAATACGAGCAAGCGGGAGTGAGAGGCACCAGCTCTTGTTTCTCTCTCATGCAGGTGTTAATTATGTGCTTTTCTAGAAACTCTTATCCTGATACTCGGGACCTTTCTGAATGTTATTTTAATGGTGGCGGCAAGATCTCATGGGGGTGTTCTTTCTGTTTGAATTTTTTGGACAATAAAATTCTCTTACTGGCTTATAAATTGATCTCGGTGCATGGTTTGGTTTTTTAAGAATGACTTTGCTGACTTTTTCAGGTTGTGTCACTTAGAAAGTTGAATGAATCTATATGTCTTATGTATTTAGTTTTTGCTTCTCTGTGTGTTGCAATGGATAGCAGTTACAGATAGAGCAATAGCTGTGATTAATTGCAGAAGTATAACTGTAAACGCTTCGTGATAGTGAAACTAATTTTACGTAAAGAGCAAACCAGCATGTACAGTGAGGACTCTGCGGCATTGTATTATCAGATTGGGGATCAAGGTATTTGTTTTCTTCGTGATATTGCGTATTTCTGTACTTTTCTAATTATGCCAGAGATTTAGTAAGAGATATGGAATAGCAGCAGTGCCTGGCCATTAGCTAAGTGGAGCTGCAGTTTGATTTCTCAGTAACTTCTGCCTAGATGTTTACTTTTTAAATATAATTTGATGCTTTTTGTTGTAATTTTTGAAACCTGAAAGTCTTGCCTGAAGACAATGTGATTAAAAAAAGCTAATGAACCTTTTCTTTTTGCAATCACTGATGCTTTCAAGAGGCTATCTATAGAGGCAAAGACCTGAATCTCCTCTGCATTGCTGGCCAGTAGCTATTATATGCTAAGTAGCTCCTGAAACAGCTGAATTCCCTTTGGTTTTGCTGTGCATTGCAGAGCACGCAGGACTTGACAGGCGCTCCATGAAAATCTTGAGGTTTGGGGAGTCAAGTTTTGCACTGCTAAAAGGAGGGTTATGTGCTGAGATAGTAATGCCGTTTTTTGCGTCTATTAATCAGAATGCACTATTGCTGTTGATGGGAATTTTCTTTTTAAAAATGATGGTACAGTGAGATTAGATATTGTATGCATTTTGAGGAGCTCTTTTTATTTATTTTGTGATGTTTTGTGTTGGCTGAATTCTAATAGGGTAAATGATCGTAAACAATATCATGTCGTTATTTTACCTCCACCTTACACTTACGGAGGTGAGAAGAGACTGTGTGCAGCTGTGTATTATGCAGCCTGTTAATGCAATGCAAAGCCTGCCGAGCGGAAAAAAATGTACATTTTGGTCTCCTCATCTGGGAGTGTGAAACTCACAGGGGGAAATAGGCACCCCAAAATGTTGCGGATTTTGGTGCCCAGGGTGCTGGGAAGGCCTTATGTTCTGAAGCAAGGATTTTATTTCTGCAAGTGCAAAATGTGAAGTGACTGGGAAGAAATGACAGGTGCTTTGTGCTCAGGATGCAGGAAATGTACTCTGACATGAAGGTACGCCAGTCCAAAGAGATTCAATTCCTCTTCTATACTGAGGACATAAAGAAGTCATTTAACTGAGAGGTTCCCGAAATAAAGAAATTCCATTTGAAGGCCAAACAGTGTTTGTGCTTTTGCTGAACAATTACGTTTGGCAAATGGTTTTTGCGCTTTCAATATAATGGCCTGTGCTGCCTGCTGGCAATGGGTAGCCCAGCTGTCCCAGTGTAGGCAATGAGAGGCTGTGGCCAAGGAAGGGGGAGAGCCTTACCTGGGATCTCTCTGCCGGGAATTCACTCTCTTTAGGGAAGCTGTGGAGTCCTTATGTGTCAAATTTGGGTTGCAAATGTCTATGTATTTCTTCATAACCTGGCAGAAATTGCTCTAAATGTACACACATGCAAGGGTGGCCTTCCAGTAAAACTTTGATTCATCCTTTTCCCACCAGAAACCTGCAGACAGACCCATGGGACACTTTGGGCTCATGAGAAATCAGGCTGGCTTATCTGGGGCTAATGGGTATCTAGGAAGGCAAGGGTTTGTGTAAGTTTTCTGGCGCTGGGCTTGACGTCATGAGCGTGGCTTTACTGGGAGACACGTCTCCTCTCATCCCCTGCCCTCCTGCTGCTGCCCCCTGCCCCTTCTCCCCGTGGCAGGGAAGGCACCTCCGTGGAGGGTTTCTCCCAAGACGGAGGAGGCAGCAGTGCCTTTTTCCTGGGCTCTGACACGGGAGGCTTGCTTCAGTTCTGACCTTGAGGCTGTAAGAGCGGCCGCCTTCGCTCAGGCCGGGGACCTCTCCCTCTGACTGGGCAGCGTAAGAAACTGGAGAGAGGAGAGGGGTGGGAGAAGGTGCGTGCCTCCACAGCCCCAATTTTGGTTTCACTACGCAGTCAGCAGGCTGATACTTCCATTGTGCATTCGCTCTGCAATACCTGGTGTGCACACGGCTAATCTTACCATTAATGTTTCTTGGCATTTGAAGGATAAAATGGGTTTTTTCCAAGTTTTTCAAGTTTTTTTCAACAGTCAGGATTTCAGCACTAAGGTGGCAAGTTTCCTTCTGGCACAAGTAGTACCTGACAGGTATGTGCGGTAGCACAACAGTGCAGGGCACTGAAGCTGACAGCTATCAAATCCATACAGCACTGCTAACGCCAGCGTCCCACTATCTACTGTAAATACAACTTTAGAAAATATCAAAGGCTTCTGAATTAGGCATCTGTCTTTTTTTGGTGTGGTTTTTTTTTTGTTGTTTTTGTTTTTATAAAAAGAGCAAAAATTACTTAAGTGTTACCTTGGGATGAAGTAAAAATACTTATCCTGAAGGTCATTTTGTTTTTTTCCCCATTATCCCATAATGGAGGAAAGAACATTAAATAGAAAAATACAACTAGAATCCTACTTCCTGGCCATGTAGCAAGCCTTGTTATATTTCTCTCCCTGCCTGCCAATGCAATTATTCTTAGAAAAGCTATTCAGTAAGTTATGGTGACTTTATAATGACTTATTGATTGCACTTGTCAATTTTTCTTTTACTCTAATTTACTTCTAAATATGCTCATGTCCACTTTTTATTACTAGTTCCTAATGTGCTGGTCACATTGAAGCTACGATTTCTGGGAGAAAAAGTCTGTGCATTTGATAAAGAAGAGAATTTTTGTGGTTTCTAAAGCTTGAAAGAGTATGGATATGCTGATAAAAGCCGTATATAGTGGCAAGATTTTTTTTTTTTTTGTGAGGAATCTTAGTCTGTGCTTCGTGCTGTAGTATTACTTTTCTCTCACTTTCTTTTAGAAAATTTGACTACTCACTCAGATATTTCTAAATCCAAGGAAAGCTGGAGACAGTTAAAAAAAAAAATCTGTTCTTGGCGTATGGAAATATTTAAGTCTTTGTTTAGAGGACTGCATCTGCACCAAATCCAACAGAACTAATACAGTAATTTGTACTTTGGTTCCTTGTATTAAAAAAAAATTATAAAGATTATTCTCTTTTTGTTCTCATCTCAGTCAGCAAATAACCCAATGGTATATTTAACTTTAAGCCTTTAAATAGATCCATTGGCTTTGGTGATATGACACCACCCTTTTAGAGCTACGCACACACCTGAGTGCGCTGATGAATCAGAAGCAAGAACATAAAGAGTGCCTTAAACCACTTAGCCTGGTCTTGCACTCCTTAATTCAAAGTTTCCACCAATGTCACGAAGATTTTGTTCCGATAAAGGCAGTAGAATCAGACCTATAATTATTTCCAGGTACGATAGTGTTTCTGACTCAAGTACAAATGTACCATTCCAAGGGAAAATAGTCATGTAAGAACAGAAGAAGGTATTTGGGGGATTTTTGTGTTGTTTTCTTTTGCTTTTAGTCAGCAGTCATTTAACTCAATCTGGTTTGTGGCCACATGTGTCAAAATGAAATCAAATATAAGGATTTTGCTTTCCAAAATTAAGTCCCCAGGCAAGAAACAACAGCTGGAAAATGCATATGTTTGACTGAGTTGGTTTGTTTGCTTGTTTTTTCTTAACAAGAACTATATTATCTCTTAATAAAATGTTTTTCAGCAAGTTCCATGAGTTATAAAAGGCCTTTCAGAAATAATGTTAAAAGAATCAAGTGCTCTTGGAGAATGACTTGCTGAAAGATAAATACAGAAGTAGTTTTGAGAAATGTGAATGCCAAAAGAAGATATTTATTTTCCAAGTGACGGTTTGTAATCCAGTGAAAATATATAATGCTGTTCACTCAGAAAGAAGTAGGCTTCATAATGCGAGTTTCTGAATCAAGCCAACAGAATTAATTTGAAAATCAGCAAAGTGGAGGAAAAAAAAAAGACAAGTTGGGTTTGTATCACTTGCATTATCAATTTTAACAAAGTGAAAGTGATACAGTAGAAAATATCACATGCAGTGCCAAACCTTGTCAAGTTAACCAAAATAATTTCATTGATTGCAATGTGGTTTCTATCAGATTCATCATTAATTAATTAAAAATTAATTTATTTTGATAGATGATTATACAGTAGAGAAATGCTAGCAGTTTTTCACATGATCAGTAATGAAAAGCCAATGGTCTCACGAAATGGCATGTGTTCTGCTAGTTATCATGCTGTCCTTCATATATA